ATTTTTTTGAATGAGCTTTGGTTGAGTGCAATGGTACAGCTGTTTGTGCATTGCTGTATTGCGATTTATGGCAAGTTTAGAGATCAATAACCAGAAAAATGTACAGTAATGTGGTATGAATCCTGGTTTGCTGATAGATTGGAACATTGTCTACAAGACCTCAATGAGATATTCAACGCACCCTCAAAGACTGCTAAGGTATAGCGCCACCAATTGTGTCAAGAGTGCAATGGTACTTCGCTGTAAGCGATTTTTTTGCAAGTTCAGAGGTCAATAACCTAAAATTGGTACAGTAATGTGGTATGAATCTGGGTTTGCTGATAGATTGGAACATTGTCTACAAGATCCCAGTGAGATATTCAACGCACCCTCAAAGACTGCTGAGATATAGCGCCACCAATTGTGCCAAGAGTGCAATAGGTCAATGTTTTTGCCTTGCTGCATTGCTATTTATGGCAAGTTTAGAGATCAATAACCTAAAATTGGTACAGTAATGTGGTATGAATCTGGGTTTGCTGATAAATTGGAACATTGTCTATAAGACCCCAGTGAGATATTCAACGCACCCTCAAAGACTGCTGAGATATAGCGCCACCAATTGTGAAAAGAGTGCAATGGTACATAGCTGTTTTTGCCTTGCTGTATTGCGATTCATGGCAAGTTTAGAGATCAATAACCAGAAAAATGTACAGTAATGTGGTATGAATCTGGGTTTTCTGATAGATTGGAACATTGTCTACAAGACCTCAATGAGATATTCAACGCACCCTCAAAGACTGCTGAGGTATAGCGCCACCAATTGTGTCAAGAGTGCAATGGTACTTGGCTGTAAGCGATTTTTTTGCAAGTTTAGAGGTCAATAACCTACAATTGGTACAGTAATGTGGTATGAATCTGGGTTTGCTGATAGATTGGAACATTGTCTACAAGATCCCAGTGAGATATTCAACGCACCCTCAAAGACTGCTGAGATATAGCGCCACCAAATGTGTCAAGAGTGCAATAGGACAGCTGTTTTTGTCGTGTTGTAATGCGATTTATGGCAAGTTTAGAGATCAATAACCAGAAAATTTTACAGTAATGTGGTATGAATCTAGGTTTGCTGATAAATTGGAACATTGTCTACAAGACCTCAATGAGATATTCAACGCACCCTCAAAGACTGCTGAGATATAGCGCCACCAATTGTGAAAAGAGTGCAATGGTACAGCTGTTTTTGCCTTGCTGTATTGCGATTCATGGCAAGTTTAGAGATCAATAACCAGAAAAATGTACAGTAATGTGGTATGAATCTGGGTTTTCTGATAGATTGGAACATTGTCTACAAGACCTCAATGAGATATTCAACGCACCCTCAAAGACTGCTGAGGTATAGCGCCACCAATTGTGTCAAGAGTGCAATGGTACTTGGCTGTAAGCGATTTTTTTGCAAGTTTAGAGGTCAATAACCTACAATTGGTACAGTAATGTGGTATGAATCTGGGTTTGCTGATAGATTGGAACATTGTCTACAAGATCCCAGTGAGATATTCAACGCACCCTCAAAGACTGCTGAGATATAGCGCCACCAAATGTGTCAAGAGTGCAATAGGACAGCTGTTTTTGTCGTGTTGTAATGCGATTTATGGCAAGTTTAGAGATCAATAACCAGAAAATTTTACAGTAATGTGGTATGAATCTAGGTTTGCTGATAGATTGGAACATTGTCTACAAGATGCCAGTGAGATATTCAACGCACCCTCAAAGACTGCTATGATATAGCGCCACCAATTGTGTCAAGAGTGCAATGGTACTTAGCTGTATTGCGATTTTTGGCAAGTTTAGAGGTCAATAGCCTAAAATTGGTACAGTAATGTGGTATGAATCTGGGTTTGCTGATAGATTGGAAAATTGTCTACAAGACCTCAGTGAGATATTCAACGCACCCTCAAAGACTGCTGAGATATAGCGCCACCAATTGTGAAAAGAGTGCAATGGTACATAGCTGTTTTTGCCTTGCTGTATTGCTATTCATGGCAAGTTTAGAGATCAATAACCAGAAAAATGTACAGTAATGTGGTATGAATCTGGGTTTGCTGATAGATTGGAACATTGTCTACAAGACCTCAATGAGATATTCAACGCACCCTCAAAGACTGCTGAGGTATAGCGCCACCAATTGTGTCAAGAGTGCAATGGTACTTGGCTGTAAGCGATTTTTTTGCAAGTTCAGAGGTCAATAACCTAAAATTGGTACAGTAATGTTTTATGAATCTGGGTTTGCTGATAGATTGGAACATTGTCTACAAGATCCCAGTGAGATATTCAACGCACCCTCAAAGACTGCTGAGATATAGCGCCACCAATTGTGCAAAGAGTGCAATGGTACATAGCTGTTTTTGCCTTGCTGTATTGCGATTTTTGGCAAGTTTAGAGGTCAAGAACCTAAAATTGGTACAGTAATGTGGTATGAATCTAGGTTTGCTGATAGATTGGAACATTGTCTATAAGACCCCAGTGAGATATTCAACGCACCCTCAAAGACTGCTGAGATATAGCGCCACCAATTGTGCAAAGAGTGCAATGGTACTTAGCTGTATTACGATTTTTGGCAAGTTCAGAGGTCAATAGCCTAAAATTGTTAAAGTAATATGCTATGAATTTGGGTTTGCTGATAGATTGGAACATTGTCTACAAGACCTCAGTGAGATATTCAACGCACCCTCAAAAACCGATGAGATACAGTGCCACCAATTGTGCCAAGAGTGCAATGGTACATAGCTGTATTGCGATTAATGGCAAGTTTAAAGGGTCAATAACCAGAAAATGGTACAGTAATGTGGTATGAATCTGGGTTTGCTGATAGAGGGGAACATTGTCTACAAGACCCAAGTAAGATTTTCAACGCACCCTCAAAGACAGCTGAGATACAGCGCCACCAATTGTGCCAAGAGTGCATTGGAACAAAACTGTTCTGCTGTGTCAAAATTAACTAGTGGTACCTAGCCTGAAAATGCTAGTGTTTAATTTGTGTATAATCTTATTTCTGGTGTTGTGATAGACAAGTACAATATGTATAAGCTTCTTGTAATTTTTTTAATAAAATACCAACAATAAGCTTAATAATAATAATAATAGAATTAATAATAATATTATTAATATTTTTTCTTTTTATCATTTATATTAATATTAGTAGTATTAGTACTGTTAAATTCATGTAAATTTGTATAGGTATATAGTTAATTTGTATATATATATATATATATATATATATATATATATATATATACACACACAGGGCTGACATGGTGGTGCAGTGGGTAGCACTGTCGCCTCACAGCAAGAAGGTTGCTGGTTCGAGCCTTGACTTGGTCAGTTGGCCTTTCTGTTTTTGCATGTTCTCCCCGCTTTCACGTGGGTTTCCTCTGGGTGCTCGGTTTCCCCCACAGTCCAAAGACATGCAGTACAGTTAAATTGGGAAGGCTAAATTGTCCATAGTGTACGACTGTGGATGTTTCCCAGAGATGGGTTGCAGCTGGAAGGGCATCCGCTGCATAAACCATGTCCTGGAGAAGTTGGCGGTCATTCCGCTGGGGCGACCAAAGTTTAATAAAGGAAACAAGCCGAAAAGAAAATGAATGAATACATATACATACACTTAAATAAACACAGACACAGGAAAATGTATTGTGTACTGTGTATGAATATATATATATATATATATATATATATATATATATATATATATATATATATATATAGAGAGAGAGAGAGAGAGAGAGAGAGAGAGAGAGAGAGAGAGACATATTTTACACACATATTTATAAATAGGTACATATTAATAAATTTTTATAAGGTATATAGATTAATTGGCATTTATTTCAGTACAATATGTATAAGTGCATTGTAAAATATTTTTATTTCACTACTACTATTACTACTAATAATAAAAATTAATAATAATAACAATTATTAATATTATTAATAATAATAAATCATTATTATTAAATGATTATGTATTGGCATCTTTATTTTGTGTAAATTTATAACACAAACATACTTTTTTATCTTTAGTGTTAAACATTTTTAATGTGAACACACACACACACACACACACATAGTTTATAGTACACACATACATAGTATGTAGTAGGCACACAAATACATAAAAGTTAAAAATAAAACATTAAATGAATATGCAAAAAACTTGGCATATAGCACCTCCAACTGGGCATTTATTGAAATGACTGTCTTTTGACCGTTTTTAGGTCTGTCTTCTCAATGGGATAGAATTATACATATTTATACATATGCAGACGCGTGTATAGACGTATACTATTAACCTGTTGTGTAATATTAGAGAGAACATGGTACAGTATTCAATTATGCAATAGCTCATTCAGTTCAATTCACATTTATTTGTATAAGGTGTATAAAAAGGTGTATAAGAAGTGCATTGTCTGTTCTTTGAAACAATAGGTTTAACAAAACTTGAATTGTATTTACAGGCGTGGGTGTCAGAAAAAGCTACTGAAATCTAATACAAATTGTAGTATTTGCAGATAAAACATATGCATTAACTTTTACAACTTTAATTAATAAAACAATTATTTTGTATCTAAAATCCTTGCTGAGGCAGGCACTGTCTATTCATAGGTGGGTCATGTGAAGTCTTCATAAAGGACTATTTCTGGAAAAAAAACAAAAATATATTGTACTCAAACGATGGCACTGTCAATAATTAATCAATGATGCAATTAGATTTCATGCTTGCAGCCCGTTTTCTATCTTATATCAGTTTCATTTAGCATTTTTCATTTTTCAAAAAGGAACATAAATAAACACGGTCCCTAAGATGAGCGCGAATAAGAAGCTGAAAAACGGAAGCGTCGCGGTTTTTAAGGTGGACCGCATAGCGTCAATAAGAAGCTGCGAATAAGAAGCTGGATTCAGCCTCGTCACGCACCTGTTGTTGACCCGCTCGTCCTGAACCGGCCTCGGCGACACACACGCAGCTTCACCATCAGGGGATCTCTGAGTCTGTGGGCTGCTCGGCTGGCGCTGTTTGGTTCTGGTTATAGTTTTCTTGAATTTCCGAGAAAACCATTTCCGGAACCTCTTTAGTTTCTTCTCCGCTTTCTGTGGTGCTGGGCTTGGTGAAACACCAGCTCCGGTTTGAATGTGAGAGATGAACGCGACGTTACTTGGTCCAGCTTCGCCATCAGAACATCTCTGGTGCTCGAGGTCGCCCTCGATTAGGTTCTTCTGGGTTTTCCCGGATTTCCGAGAAAAGACCCAGTTACAGAACTTTTTAAATTTCTTTACAACTCCCATAGATTCAGATTTTTTTCCAAAATGAAGAGAATCGTTATCAACGGCGGATTGACTATTTAAATCCACGATCAACTGATTAAATTTCATATAAAACGCAGCTCTAAGTTTGTGCTACTGTTCAATTCAGACGACGAGTTGCAAATGAGTGAATATTTCACTTCCATGGAAACATAGAACTTTCGAACGTTTGACGTCATAGCTCAGTTACACGCAGGGCTCTAAGCCGCGATTTACAGAAGATAAAGATATTGCCTGTATTTTAAAGCTCTACATTTGATATATTATTATATATATCAAATGATCATCAGAAAACCACAAACCATATTAAAATCCCAATGTATGTAAACTTTTGCAGGGGGCTAATTTAATATTTTGAGCTAGGTTTTTGTATTTTAAACTATATGTAAACATCTTGTACATAAAATGTTTCTCAAAACAGTACTAAATAAAAAATAACATGTATTTTGTACGATCTCACTTATTTTGTTAAAAGTTTTCACAAAAAAAAAAAAAAAAAAAAAAAAATATATATATATATATATATATATATATATATATATATATATATATATATATATATTTATTTATTTATCTTATTTTTATATTTTTTACCTGGTAGTCCTCGATAAACTCTGTCTTTTTTACCAAGTAAGAGTATTAAGCCTCTGATAACAGTTTGTCTTCTGGAGTCAATGCTGTTGTCTTACAAATATATGACATGACATATTAAAATTGTCACCATTAACCTATCTTCGACCAAATCTGAATTTAATGCACAGCAATCAGCTTGTAAACAGTTACCACAATAAACCAATTTCTTGAACATTACATACCGTTATCCAGTGCACTTGTCAAGTGAATCACCTGTTGGGGACTGTGTGTAATGATTATTAACTGAACAATGCAATAATCCATAACAATAGCAAATAGTTTAACTAGTAAAATTTAATTGGAATCGTTATCTAAAATTTTTGTAAAATAAAAACAAACATTTTTTTCAGCATTTTCAATGGATAGAACAAAGATGCTGAAACTAGCACTGGGTATCTGAGGCACTTTTATTATTCTACTTTAATTTGCTAGCCTGGCTTGCATAATAACTTACATGATTTTTAGCATTATCTTGACTTTAAATAATGTTTGAAAAGAGGGCTTAAGACCAAGGAGAACTTCTCTGAAAGACCCTTTACATGTAATTTAAGTTAAAGAACATAAAACCGTCATCTTGATAGAATATTTTATAAACGTTTATTATGTAATATATTAATAAATAATCTGCCAATGGGGTAAGCAACATAATCTTGTTTTTTTCGATTTGTGATAAGATTATTTTGCTAACCCCATTGGCAGATTATTTAGCTTGATTTAATAAAAAACTCGCTTCATTTTGGCATATTATTTATTAAAACAAGACAATATGGTTTGCTTGTCTAGAAAATGCTTCTTGATTTAAGAATTTGTAGATATTTGGACTAAAAACAAGACAAAAAATCGAAGTAAGAAAAGCATTTTTTGCAGTGTACAGCCCTGAATAAGAGTACTGAAACTAGGTTGCTGAAGAGGAATTGTACCACTAGTTAGTGTTCTGTTCTGAGAGTTGTTAAGGTTGAAGCTGCCCATAAAATGTTGTGATTAAATATGTTTTTACATTGTATCTATATAATAATACGCTCACCGGCCACTTTATTAGGAACACCTGTCCTACTGCTCATTAACGCAAATTTGTTATCAGCCAATTAAATGGCAGCAACTCAATGCGTTTAGACATGTAGACGTGATCAAGACAATCTGCTGCAGTTCAAACAGAGCATCAGAATGGAGAAGAAAGGTGATTTAAGTGACTTTGAACGTGGCATGGTTGTTGCTGCCAGACGGGCTGGTCTGAGTGTTTCGGAAACTGCTGATCTGCTGGGATTTTCAAGCACAACCATCTCTAGGGTTTACAGAGAATGGTCAGAAAAAGAGCAAATATCCAGTGAGCGGCAGTTCTGTGGGCGCAACTGCCTTGTTGATGCCAGAGGTCAGAGGAGAATGGCCAAACTGGTTCCAGCTGACAGAAAAGCAACATTAATTCAAAATAACCACTCGTTACAACCGAGGTCTGCAGAAGAGCACCTCTGAAAACAGTTTTACTTACTGTTTTTGCTCTTCATCCTGTACAATGTTGTGTTTGTCTATCTTTGAGTGCAGGAGAAACGTTGGTAGAGGCGTTGGAGCTGCAGCTGGAGGCAGTGGAAGCACAGATCCGTGACCTCGAAATGAAACGAGCACAGCTCCAGAACCCAACAAGCCTTGATGTCTACCGTGCTGCTTGCTTGGCCGTCTAAGGTAAGTGTGCGATACAATCTCAACATTCCTTCCACTCAACCCCGTGTGTTTTTCTGTCCAGACCTGAGATTGGGGACTCGAGTCACATGACTTGACTCAAGACTTGAGACTTGCTTGACAAAAATCCAAAAAAAGACTCGACTTGACTTGGACTTGACTGTCATGACTTGAGACTTGACTTGGACTTGTGTTAAATGACTCGAAAAAACTTATATATTATGCATTTAAAAACAAAACAAAAACGAAAGTCCTAAGTCATGCATGCGCAGTATTAACTGGATCTGGACTGGATAATTTGGTTCAAAAGAACCACTTAAAATGATTCATTAGATTCATTTGAACAGGTTATTTGAACTATTCATTTGCTTTTCAGCCATCACATAATGCGGTGATAAAAAATGGAAGGCGCTCTGCCAAAGATAGCCTATTTTACGGGTTTAAAGATTAAAAACAAGACGGCTAATCAATGTTTATTCTATTTAGTGACTCTGTGCTTGCCACACATACTATACTTCGGCGGGCCGTCTAAATATACTTAGTGACACATGTTTTTACAGTTATTATCTTTCTTCTTAACCGTTTTGTATCCGTCTAATTTAACCAAACATTCGCGATCGATGTAGTGGAAAAATCCTCTCTCGTTACTCGTTTAGGTCTGTGTGCCCATGAACTGTCAGCACCCCCGCACTGCACTGCAGACCCACAAATACATGCCATTTTGTGAATTAAAGGTTCAGGACACCCTGGATTTGTGTGTGTTGAGCATCAGTTAAGACAATGTTAGCACCTTTCAGCTTTAATTGTGGGGAAAACTGGATAATTTTGAGCTTTTGTCAGCTAATTTCAGCTTTCGGGTTTAAAATGATTTTTGGGGCGGGATCAAAATCGGCGACGTAGCGCAGAACTGCAAGTGCAATGATGACGCGTCGGTTTCTCATTATTATTCATAGCGGAGTTTTCTTATCCTATGAGAAGAGCCGGCTGCTTAATTATTCATGAGACCTGCCAGAGTCAAGCACGAGCTGTGAGACACGGACCCACGGCACACAGTATTTAGCCATTCATGAAGGCTCATATGCGTTTATTTCCATGATCCACGTGGTTTGTTGCATGTTTTCCCCCGCGATCTTGTCAGGGCCGATCATACAGCAAAGCTGTGTGTGTGCTGCAAGCATTTTTGTCGCGAGAATTTGAGAATGGCGGACGCTGTCTTTTATCAGGAGTTCGTTCACATTCAGACACATCATTGTGCTGCTGTGTTTGCCTAAATCCTCCAGATTACCAGCAGGGCTAATGGTTAAAATAGACAGGTCAGGAGAACTGCTGCACTGAGTCTGCTGGATACGGGGATTGAGGGAGAAGTCCTCATTTATAGGGTTTACATAAACACACTTATTACAATTTAATGATATAAATTGTGGTTATGTTTATGAAATTAAGAATAACAAATGTAGCAGGGCATTAAATCACTGTTCATTTCTTTGCATTTTAACTTTGTAAACTATAAACTCATGCGTCTCCTCACGGTTTGTCTCATTTTGTGAGCTAACTGACAACAACAGTTGTTCGCTTACGTTCTCCCCTGCTAACTCCTGCCCGATGCTCGCGGAGCTCCACGCCCATTAATCATGCATCTTTTGAAAAAATTCTGAAATAGACTTTAACCGAAAGTGGGGGGTGTCATGGCCCTTTAAGAAATTCGTCCGGCCGGGTTTCTAAATGTCCAGAATTTGACTTTTGCTTTCTAAAGCTGTCATTCGTTAATCTTCCACACTGTTTTTGTATCCACCTAATTTAACCAAACATCTGCATTTGCTGTATATTTTATTTGATAATGTCACTAGGCTAATACACAGGCTGTTTTATATACAAATCTAAAATGATTTTGCATTCAAGTTTGCTTTGAACTTGAACGAGAGAAAGAAGATTTGACCTGTCAGCGGTACACATGGCTCCGGAATAGGGAAGAGAATGAGGATGTCTTTTTAAACAGTTTTCTTTTTACTTTAACCCATTAAAAGTAAACAGTGTATAACATTGCCATAATAAATGAAATCATTGTAAAAAAAAATTGAATGTGTTTTGTTTGTCACATATAGGTAAATATCGAACCCGAGCCAGGACCCGGGGCAGGTGCTCTCCCCTGTCACTGCCTCTGGTATTCGAGACCCTCACAGAGAATTGCTTCGCCCCCCTTTGTGAGACAGGATGCAACGTCGCAATCATTTACAATTTCATTGTTCATCTTGTCTGTGTGATTTCCACTAATGGTAACAATGTACACTCTCACTGCTTTCCTAGTGCTCAAATTTAAGGTGTTTCTGCTAAGGTATCCGCTATCCTGTGCACTGGCGAGAGCATCAGATTTGTTGATTTTTATGTAGGGACGAACGACACCGGGCTGCGGCAGACAGAGATCCTCAAGAGGGACTTCAGGAGCCTGATCGAGACACGACCTGTACTCATGTACTTATGCACTTACACACTCAACTTAAGCACTTACACACTCAACTTCAAAGTATATGTATGTAGTGTCATCACTTGTTTTTTTACTAAGCGGAAATTCAAACCGTTTTCCTGATGCCGTTTAACGGTTGCCAAATCAGTGAAATTACCAAACTATCAAATAATACCTGCCATGAGTATAACAGCATTCACCATCGTGAGGCGCT